CGTATATCTAAAAGAAAGAAAAACCAAGGCTCTATGAGATATTTCTAGTACTGAAGCTTTTGATTTTGGCTGATAGTTCATTTCATCATTGGACCACTGTGATGGTTAAATAGATCTTCCTGACTCCAAGATGGCTTTATAAAAATCTTTCTGATCTCTTTTTCCTCTAAAATTCTATAGCAAACAAGAACAAGACATAAAAACTTATAACACCAATGAAACCAGAAAAATTGAATCTGTAAACCCCAAACCATAATGAATGAGGACTAGAACAAAAGACAGAATGGTAAATAATCGAACAGAAAAAGGATGCTTAACGGAAGTGGGTTAGTGAGCTGAGGGAAAGGTAGCAGGAGAGTTAGAAACAAATAATTTTCCTGGTAGACTTTGAAAAGACTAAAGAATTTGAGGTTAATACTCAGCAAATAGAGGTACTATCAAAAGTAATAGTAGGGCTGGGTTTTTTGGTTTTGTTTTGTTTTGTTTTGTTGGGTTTTACTCTTTGGTTTTTAATTAAGGGAATGAACAGTCAAACCCAAAGGTCCACAATCCCACCTCACAAAGTAATGTAACTTCTCTCCACCTTTTCGGGATACATAAGGATTGTTCTCTGGGGAAGCTTAACCAGAAAGACTGTGTTCAGGGATATGAGGCCCAGAGGAGGAAGAAGGTGAGCAACAATGATAAAGGGGGAAAGAAGTTAAAGTTATTAGTCTCTAGATTTAAAAACCCATTAAGCATCCAATACAATAAATGAAAAAGATGCACATCAAATTTTATCATTGTGAAACTTCAGAATACAAGGGATAAAGGGAAGATTCTAAAGGTTCCACAAAGAGAAAAAAAGAAAAAAGGATCATACAAGAGATCAAGAATAAAAATGACTCCACCTTCAAGGAATAAAAACTGGAAACCTAAAAAAAACAAGGGAATGAGCCTTTAAAAATTCAATAAATATGTTAAAAAAAAGTTTTATTTAAAAAAAGGGTTTTGTTTGGTTTTTCTTTTTACATTTTGTAAAAAAGTTTACAACTAGCCAAGCAATCGAGTAAGTATAATGGTAGCAAAAAAGGCATGTGAGACATACAAAGTCCCCCATAAATACTTTCTCAGAAAGCCAGCATACAATATGTTTCACTAGATGAGGAAGTATAACATAAAAGAGGAAGAAAGGGAATCAGGAAACAAGAGAGAAATAAAGGGAATTCCCAGGATGACATCAGGGGAAGTGCTAGGACCACAGCTGTGCAGCAAGCCAAGACTGCACCAAACTAGGCTATAGCGAGAAGTCAAGTCTCTGGGGATGTTTGTATGTGGGGGTGATATCTCCAAGAAGATACTAGAATGTATAAATTGTCTGAGAGATTTTACCTTGGAGAAAATTGCTTAGCAAGGCATTTTACAGAACTTTTGTGCAGTTTGGGGAATACAGAGTACTCTCAATACTAAATAAATGAAAAGAAAAGGTAATCATTAACTCCAGGAAAAACTAAAAGTTACAAAAGAATGGAATTATATATAATCACAGTGCTTTACCCAATTTAGCAGTGAATATATTTCAATAATGAAAATATAGAATATTAATTTAAAATGAGTTCTATTTTATGAAGAAAATGAGGGAAAGAGGGTATAGTTAAAATCTTTATTATTATGGGAAGACAATAGGTAATGTCAAAAACTGACGAGTTGACAGGCAGCAATCTAGGTGTCTTATTTATAAATGAAAAAGTAAACCACAAAAGAAAAACCTGTATTGGTTTAATATTACTATCCCTGGGGAACATGACAATGTTGAAGGAACAGGGTGGAGAGAAGGACAAGGGATTATTGTTTCTTGTGATAAACTTTTTGTATTGGTATTAGAAATTAGACTTTCTATTTTCTTATACCATTTGCATAAAAATTAAAATGTTATTTTCCAAAAAAAAATCCTTACAATAGCTCAAAGGAAAATCACTGAGTTCTGGGGTACCTGGGTAGCTCAGTCAGTGAAGTGTCAGACTCTTGATTTTTAGCTCAGGTTATGATCTCAGGATCATGAGATCAAGCCCTGTGTCAGGCTCTGTGCTCAGTAGGGAGGCAGCTTGAGATTCTCTTTCTCCCACTCTCCTCTCCTTCTGCCTCACCCACTTCACTCACAAAAATAAATAAATAAATCTTTAAATAAAAAAATAAAATACTATTATTATTAATTTATTAAGTAAAACCCATAATAATAATACTTTATTATTAACTAATTAATTAAGGCCTAGTTCTTTGGGTCTCTACCAGGCTACAGATGGATTCTAGAGAGCTACAAGTTTGTGTGCTTGTATTCATTTCAATAATAATTGAAAATGTATAAGTCTATCCTGGATCACCTGGATAACTGGCATTTGGTGCCATCACTATCATGTGTATATCTATCAACTTAGCTCGAAGTAGTGCTACTTTTTTTAAAGTTTTTATTTCAATTCCAGTTAGTTAACATATAGTGTGATATTAGTTTCAGGTGTATAATATTGTCATTCAGCACTTCCATACAACACCCTTGCTTACCACAAGCCCACTCCTTAATTCCCATCACTTATTTAACCCATCCCCCCACCTCCCCTCTGGTAACCATCAGTTTGGTTTCTACCATTAAGAGTCCGTTTCTTGGTTTGCCTCTTTCTTTCTTTCTCTCCCCCCTGCCCCGCTCTGTTCATGTGTTTTGTTTTATAAATTCCACATATGAGTGGAATCATATGGTATTTGTCTTTCACTGACTGACTTATTTCACTAAGCATCATACTTTATAGCTCCATTCATGTCATTGCAAATAGTAAGATTTCATTTCTTTTTTATGGCTGAGTAATATTCCATTCTTTTTTATATTTTTTTTCTCAGATCTAGGGTTAGGATTAGGGTTAGGGTTATGGCCAGGGTGAGAGTATTCAAGTAGCATTACTTTAATAATAGCAAGAAAGTAAGAAAGAGCTATAAATGATACATTCGTATCAAAGGAAGTCCAGTTGAAATGATAACAGGTAATGTGTATGAAAATTATGTAACCATGTGGATGGACCAAGTGTTGAAGAAATCAAGTCATTTCATAAGGTACACTCTAAAAGAGTGTCATAAACTCAAGAGGACCAGCAGGCAGTACCATATTCATGTTGCAAGTAGCAATTTGGGTTCAGCAAATATTATCTGTCACATAAAAGTAATGTTCATTTGAATGGTCCATATTTGTTTTGTTGGGCTTTTAAAATAATATATATTTAAAATTTGTATCATATAATAACTATAAGCGGAAGTTTATATCTATTTTTACATTAGTACATATTGATACAATGGATAATATAATAACTTATTTCAATCATGGTAAGTTCTCTTTTTTCCTTTATTAATTTCAACATTAAATTATTCTGCTAATCCATACATTACTTAAATTTGAGAAGAACGGACTTACTTTTTGTATTCACTGAGATATCTAACTATATCTGTTTAATGCACTCCAGTATGCCACCCATTTGTGACCCTCACCAAGGACACATTAATTTAGAAAGAAGTACTTTTTTCTCTCACCCATTTTAGTTTACCAACCCTATCATCAAATGATGCATATTGTTGGGAACAGTTATCTACATATAACTTACACCTCCCCTGAACTCAGAGAAAGGTATGAGAAAATGTTTGGGGATGGAATATTTTAGTTCTTCTTTACTACTGTAACAATTTACCATGAATCTAGCAGCTTTAAAACAACACAAATTTATTGTTTTACAGTTTTGGGGGTAAGAACTCCACAATGGGTTTCACTGAACTAGAATCAGGTGTCAGCAGAATTGCATTCCTCCTGGAGGATCTAGAGAATAATCCACTTTCTTCCTTCTCCCAGCTTCTAGAAATTTCCCAAATCCCTGTTTCTGGCCCCACATCACTCTGACCTCTTTTGGAGTCCTTTTCTGACTCTGACCCTCCAGCTTCCCTCTTTTATCTTTAAGGACCCTTGTGATTACACAGGGCCAACCCAGATAATTATGGATAATCCCTCATCTCAAGATCCTTGGTTTAATCACATATGCATAGTCTCAATGTCTCTTTCATCTTATAAAGGAACATATTACCAGTTCCTGGGATAAGGATGTGGACATCTCGCTGGTGGCACTATTCTGCATACCACAATGGGTGTCATTATGCCCAGCCTGTCCCAAAAGCAGGAAGTCTGATGGAGGACCCATATTCTCTAGAAACAGAAGGAAAAGGGCATGGATGTAAGGTAAGAGAAAGGGGCATTTTATGGTGAATGAAGAGAAGGTTCTTTTCCTGAGGAGGATTAAGGAGCAAATTGAAGACATAAGAGGGATGGAAAAACTTGGAAGAGCAGCTGGTGGAAAAGGCTCCAACTCAGGAAGAAAAAGTGACTACCTCCCCAAGGGCTTATCTGCGATGTGAAGGCGGTAACATGCTTAAGGTGTGGGATGTGAGGCCAATTACACCAATTACCATGTCTCTGAAGATGCCACCAAACCCAGCCCCAAGACAGCCACCTCCACTAGTATTTCAAACTTTACAAACAAACCGAAGACATCAGAATTCAAGTAGTTCTCCCACCTCCTTTTTGTTATGCCATTGGATTCCCCCTGCCAAGATTCCTATGAGAAATCTGATGCTAATTAGACTTGCATGAGAAGGGAAAAAAAAGAAGATGAATCATGGACCACATTGGAAATAAACTAAGAAATAAGAAAATATGATCTCTGCCCAAAAGAACAACAGTGAAAAATTATACTTACAGAGGAGCCTATAGTGAAAATTTAAATTTTTTAAAGGACAAAACATGGAGAGTCTGATATGATCTACCAGCTGCTTCTCTTTCCTCAGATACTTGCCCAGGAGGCAGCTACTGAAAGTTGGGTGTATTTCTTTCTCTCTTGCTGTGTCATACACTGTTCCTTTCCTTCCCCACCCCCTCCCTGCTCTCCTGTCGCTTTGGTGTCTGTGAGTGTGTGTTGTTTCTCTCTCCTGTGTAAGAACACAGCTGCCTGCCGGTCTCCGGCTGGCTGTCGCAGCTTCTCTGACTAGCTTTTCGCCTCCTGCCTCTCCTTCTCTTTCCGCTTAGCTCCTTGTCTTCTGGTAAGTGCGACAAACACTCCTCCAAGCCCTGTAAGAAGTTGTAGGGTGCGGTTTGTGGTGTTCGAAACTTGCAACTTTGAGATTGCCGGTGAACTGTAGAAGAACTTTCCATTGTTTTATTTATAATTGAAATGTGTTACTCAGGAAGGTATGTGGGTGATAATCTGCTGGATTCCCCATACAAGTGAAAAATTCTCAGAGAAGGAAAAAAAAGCAATAAAGTGTATTAAGAAGATAAAATTTAGAAATAATTTCTTGCTTTAATTAATTAATATGGTAAGGAACAATTTAAAAGTTGCGGAATTCTTTGACTTTTTTTTTCCTTTTTGTTGATTTATCTTGAGGCTACTTTTAGGAATTGAATTGTCTTGTGGTTTACAAAGATTCAGTTATTCTGTTTTAAAGTAAATGTGGGCTATGAGTTTAAAGGAAATCCATGGAATTAATATTAAAAACACCATTGACTGTGGCCTCTGAGGAATGAAGAATAAATCAAATACAACCCAACTTTTGCAGTTAGACTAGCCATACTAAAACTCCTGTGGAAAGTCAGTTTAAATTCATTGCTTTGAAGTAGGGGTTGACTTTAGATTTTATTCCATCCTCAGAAGCCTCCCTAACACTTTAAACCCACATATGTATTTAAACCAGTACATGTTTACTGCTTTTAGTTTTGATTTTAAAAGGATTCTCTTCCCTTGATTTGCAAAGAAGAAGGGCTAAATGCCATGGCTCCTTTTAGAAGAGCTTAAAATAACTTCTGGCTGGACAGCAGGTGCCATGTATCTTTCTCCGATTTAGGGGAGGGTAAGTTATATATAGATGAGTGTACCCAACAAGTAGGGGTCAGGATAAAGAAATGCCGGTGATGGAAACAATAAGGCTGTTTACTGCATCATTTAATCATAAAGTTGGTGCATTCAAGTGGGCAAGAGAAAAAAGTACTTCCTTCAAAGTGAATGAGTACTTAAGTGGGCGGCCTAGGACTGTAGGTTGAATTTTCCGTTCTTGTTGGAGTCCAAGCACTTGACAGCCCCTGCCCTGAGAACAAAAGAGGAAGCTGTGCAGTATGGGGAACAGTATGTTTTTGTTTTTCCTCTCAGGCCACCACAACAGCAAAACCTGTGCATTATGAGAACCCCGTCATATTTTTATGCTGTTAATTAGCAGCATGACCGTTAAGCACCATTTACAAATAAAATGCACCATCACTTAAAGGCCTAAGTCAACTCTATTGCAACCCGAAAAATGAAGATAGCCAGAAATCCTGGAATTCTTTGACTCAGCTTGGACTTCAGCCCCTATTTCCAAAGAGGCCATATTATATATGGATTATTTTTCAAGTTCATTCCCTCCCTATTCATTAAACATTACTATTTCTTAAAAATTACAAAGTTATCCTGGAGCTTCTTGACTGAGAAAAAAAGAGTTGTAATCTTTTTCTTTTCCTAAAAGAAATTCAGTTTTTATATTGGAACAAAAAAGTATTATAGAAATTCAATAAATTATTATCTTGACCATCACCATGGTTCCAAAATGGTTTGTTGGTTAATTTTTACCTTCCTCCATTCTCCATTTTATTCCAAAAATGAAGCTAGTTTGAACCTCAGAAAACATATTTTGTTGATGGATAATTATGTGTTGCTCATTTGAGAAAAGGAAAATACTTGGAAAACAAGAAAGTATTTCCTGTATATAGTATAATAATTCATTTATATCAATGTACTCATATTTATCAAATCTTCACTTATGAATTAGAATAGAGTTTCAGACCGCTGTTGTTATGAGTGCTTTTAGTAAGTTCTGTGGCTCTTGTATTAAATGTTTTAACTTTGAAAAAAAAATAACACCACTTTAAACATTTTAAGTATAGACATCTCTGTACTTACAATGACCATAAGTCTACATAAAATAATTGTAAGAGAGGGGTAACACAAGTTGGCTTAAGCAATATGATAAATAAAAAATGAAAAACAATATCTTGAATTATTCCATTAATGTCAGTGAAAGGAATTTCTACTGGAATTAAAGACCAAAACCAAAAATATGCTAATAGTGTGAATTGCTTTGGAAAAATGGCTTCCCACTGTTTCTACCTAACTAACTGCAACATCAAGGGTTTGTGAAAGTACATTCATTTTATGTTAGAAATTGTAATTAGTAGGTGGCCTTTTGGGAATATCCATACCTTTTACATATAACTGGGTTAACTATATAAAACTTGACTATGCTTACCACTAGATACTACTCCCAGTATGGAGGTGAATCACTCTGTACAGCTCTCAGGAGAACCCCAGTCAACACCTCCAGGGGACAGTTCATCATTACTGAGTCAAAATGGCCTGGAGAAGCAAGATGATAAGGATTCCTCAACCACACTCCAAACAACAGAGGATAAGGCAAGTGTGCAGTCTGAACAGGGAGTTCAAGATATCTCTGAGGAACTAAATCGACAACTGGAAGACATCATTAACACCTATGGGTCTGCTACTGAAAAAGAGGGTCCCAGCAAGGCAAAGGAGCCACATGAGAACATAGACCCACTGGACAATGAGGATTTGGATGGTGATGAGGCCACTGAAGAGACTGAGAGAGAACCCTTGTCTTCTGGAGAACCAACCACAACCAAAGAGCCTGTCAGCAATAAAGAGCAAAAATTGGAAAAGAAAATCCTTAAAGGATTAGGCAAGTAGTTATGTTCTAATGCATGACTTTCCTTTGATGAGTCCTTCATCAGGAAGGAGCACTTCCTCCAACCTTTACTAAAAGCCACATCTCATTTTTGGATTACTGTAACAGCTTCTTGTAGGGTCTCCCTACACTTCCTTTGCTATACTTGGTGCTTAGCCGCTTCCTCTCAAAAGAGAAGAAGTGAACTTTTGAACATGTTACTCACCTACTCTGTTTCCCCAGTGGTTTCCCACTGCTCTTAGGAAAAGACTAAAATTCTTAACATGGTCTTTCAGGCCCTAATGGTCTAACCCAAATTAGTCTCCCTAGCTTTATCTCCCATCACTCTACACAGCATCTCCTTCCTGGACTCTCTGCCCCTATCACCACCACTACTACTACTGACTAATGGCTAATCACTCTGATCTTCTCTATTTGAACATAGCATGCTCTATCCACAAAGCCCACATATATACTATTTTCTCTACCTAGAAATCCCTACATGTTCAGCCCTTTGGGCACTTAACTTAGCATTTAGTTCACAATTCAAGTGGCATTTTCTTAGCCCAACTCTAGATAAGATCTTCTTGTTTTCCATTTCTGATGTATCTTGTATCTTTCCTTCTGAGCATTTAGCAGTATATGAGAATGTTACATTTACTTTTTGTGATATTTGCTTAATGCATGTCTTCCCTTTCCCTAGCTGGTTTTAGCTCAAGAACAGGGACTGTGTGTGTATTCAGACATCACTGGATGCGTAGTGTTTAAGATAGTGGATGACACATGCCAGGTGATCAGTAAATATTTGTTATAAGGATGAATGAACAAGTAAATGAAAGGGAAATTGCTTAAAGCAAAGCTAGTGGAATCTGGATTTAAATAAAATATAAATATAGAGATTGTTTATATGTAAAATGATTATCAGATCGCTGAGTTGTATGTTCTATTACTATATAAAATATTTTCATTTCATAAAACTCTTTAAAAGGTATCAATTATAGAATGTCAAAAATTGCACAAAATATTTTTATTCTCATTAGTTTATTGATTCAGCAAATATGTATTAATACCTCATCTTTATGAGGTACTGTACTAAGTAAACAAAGATGAATAAGTCATCAAGAGCCTTTGGTTAAGGAGCTCTAAGTATGGAGAGAAAAACCTTGTTTTTCTAACTGTAATTGTAATCTAATATGTTATATAGGATAGTGCTAAGAACAGGCATGGGAAAATTTTAGGTGACCATGTGGGATTTTGCACCAAAATGGCTGTGAAAGAAGGATGAGTTAATTTATTAGCTACTAGTGAAAGCATGTTACTGTACATAGGAGAACCCCTCTGCCTGTCTTCCTTGGTGAATTTCACTGTGACACTCTGTACAAATACCACCTTCTATATGGTACATTCCCAGACACACCCAGTAAGGGTTAGCATCACCTTTCTTACTTCTCCATTAAATATTCTGCATCAATCATTTGTTTATATACCTGCCTCCCAAGGGAGGTAGAAAATATATCAGGGGCAGCTATAATGTCTTACGCATTTCTTGAAGATAGTGTGGCAAAGAGAAAGGTCATGGGCACTGGAGTCATAACTGGGTTTAGATTCCAATAACCAGGTATCTATAAATCCCAAAATATGTCTGCCAGTGTGGGATATCACTATCTTACTTAAAACCCATTGTGGGCAATGTTTTCAAGAAAAGCTAAAAGACACATTTAAATAGGACATTTGACTCACCCAACATAAAGAATAAAATAACCCAAATAATACTTTAAAAATATCTACCAAGTTGCAAAGTGCAAGACTGGAATCACTCAAGGGTTCTGGATCTTTGGGAAAGAGAATAAAGTTGCTCTATGTTCAAAAGCTGTTTTTCCTTATCTAGCCAAGGCATTTCAGAAACATCCCTTTGTATTAGCCATCGTTAAACTTCCCATAAGACAGTACAAAATCACATCATGGATGGTTATGATTTCAAGTATTCCTAATGGGAAATTCTTTTGCTTTATCATTTTATAACTATTTCTACAGAGGAATATGTATGTGTTGTATTGAGGGGATATGAAAAAAAGTAGGGATAAAATTAAAGATGACCAACTGTGGTTTCTTCTCTGTCTTCCATGAGTTATTTCAAAATCTATAGTGATGATCTAATTATCCGATTATCAAAAGAACTGTAGAGAAAGAAAACATTCCACAACTCTAATTCCACCACTGTCTCCAAGTTACCAGATTTCAACTGAATGTTTGATCAAAACCAGTGTTTGTGAAGCCAGTGCCCACTTGTGTCCACCCTAACTACATGTGTCTCTGAACACCATTGGCATATTCTTCTAGGCACTGTAATGTTTCAGCTACATTATGGCTTAAACATTTTTAGGCTGATCGAAATATATAACCACCATTTGAAACATGATTTCAGCTGCCTTTAATGGGCTTCCTAGCTGTTGATCGTCTAGACCAGTAGTTTTCAAACTTAACTGGGCATTAGAACCAAATACAGAATTTATGAAAAATGCTGTTCCTGAGCACAGAAATTCAGAATTGGGAGGATTTGAGTGGAACCAAAGCACCAGGGGCAATTTTGATACACACTGCAGAAACAATGATTCTTCTGTTTCAGAAAGTTCTTCTTCCACCTTTTTTTTTTTTAATTTTTTTAAAATTTATTTGACAGACAGAGATCACAAGTAGGCAGAGAGGCAGGCAGAGAGAGAGGAAGGAAAGCTCTCTGCTGAGCAGAGAGCCCGATGCGGGGCTCGATCCCAGGACCCTGGGATCATGACCTGAGCTGAAAGCAGAGGCTTTAACCCACTGAGCCACCCAGGCACCCCTTCTTCCACCCTTTTGAAGAAAAAGTGAAGTGCTGATGGTGGTCTTCTTTAGAATCTATTTGTACCTTTTATAGAATTTTAGTAAATCATTTTACCAGCACCTGAAAATATATCCTTAGATTTTGCTTAGCTACTTGATCAAAGATGAGTCTTCCATTATTTCATGTTTATCTGATAATATCTGCTTTATTGGTATTTTTGAGATGATGAAACATTCTGGCTCTCTAACCCAAAACTTTCCATAGTATATAATTTGGCATATTTGAGATTTCAGAAAAAGTTAAAGATTACTTACTGCCAGAATTCTTTGACTTTTGCTATATACAATGAAAATCTCCACTATAGATGGGCATAGTTTACAATATTTTCTGGACTAATTAGACCAAACAGATCCTTCTTTCACAGAACACCTTTGATTATTTGGCAAATGTCTCTACAAACCAAGTACCTAGGACTTGTTTTTCCCTGAGAGACTTCATAACCTCCCCACAATCAACACACTATACACCAAAGCAGTTAGAGGAACATTTTTAAATCTCTTTAGTGGATAGAGCCACTTTCCCCTTGGCATCTGAACTGAAAGAGACAAAAACAGAGTCCCCATTAGACAGCACTCTGACATGTCTTAAGTATCTCACTTACCTCTCCCACCCCATCCTCCAGACTCACAGTATCTTATTAATCACTTCTCTGCCAACAGTACGTGGGCCGCACAAGCACCACAAGGTAATAAGCACAGAACAATGATAAAATATAATATACTTTCTGATATTCTGGTTGATAACTGATTGAGTAGGAAATCAAAGGTTTGAAGCATAAGCCTGGGAAGAAAACAAAGCTGATCCACAGGTCCAATCTGAGTTCAGAATACATCTAGTCAACCCACTAATTTTATAGACAGGGAAATTGAAGCTTAGAGAGTTTAAGAGTCTACAAAAAAAGGTTACTCAACTAGTTGATGTGATTGTGAGATGAGTCATAAAGGAAGCAAGGGGGCAGAACTGAAGTCACTAATATTGCAGGATTGAAGATACATACAAACTAATTGGTATATTGGTTAAGGAGCATTTACCATAGCTCAGTTAATGGATTTGCCTTTAGTTACCGTGACTTTCAGTTGTACCTTCTGAGGAGCTTGACTTAGATGGTGGATTCCAAAATGTCTTTAGAAAGCCATTTGCTTACTCTTCCTTAGAAGGGGCACTTTCCCAGATGATTTGTTTCATCCATTTTTAGCTTGATTTCTAGTTTCACTGTGAAAGGGGAATAAACTGTTGCCTTAATACAACTGCTAAACTTTTGGAAGAGGTAGTAGGAGACCAGAAGAATTCAGGGAAAAGAGGAATCAACAGAGATTGCAAGGTTCATGAGTAGATTCACAGGGAAGTTAGACTTTAGACCAGGTCCTAAACAGAGAGAGAGGTTTAAAGAAATAGGTCAATTGGGACAGAAAAATATAACTTGAGCAAAGTAATTAGCACTCTCTTCTGATCAGAATTAGGAATAGATGTATTCATTTCTTACTGTTCTTCCTGGTGTTTTTCTTTTTCATTATAAGGTTTTGCTTTATTTTGTTTCCCCTGGAATAATCTCTTCATTTTTAGACTCTTAAAGGGTTTTTTTTTTTCCTTTATAAAGTTTTCTTTATAGTTAGAGTCAAGAAATTACTAATAATTCAAACATATCATCAACTGACCTAATAAGAAGTCCAGGTCCACTCCCCAACTGGGTGAGAGGCAAAAGTTCCAAGTACATAAAACAAGGTGACTAAAACACGAAAGATATAAAATGTGGGCCAAATAAAAACAGTGTAACTAGAAAATACAGAGTAGGCAGTATTTTCAAAACTGATAAGCCATTAAAACCAAGCAAAACAAACAAAAACCAGACTATGAGAAGTAACAATGAGGGATAAGAGAATCCTGATAAATTTTAGAAGTCTGTTGTTTTTTCCCCAAAACATTTTGGAAAGACAAATATACCATCCAAACATTGTTAATTTTATTGTTGTCTAAATCAAGCTAAAAATGGTTAAATTTATTCCAGTCATGGAATCAACAAATCCTAAATGCTAAACTCAGAACCCATTTAGTCAACTTAATAATTTTATAGAGATGAAAATTTAGGCCTAGAGAGTTGAAGAGTCTATAAAAAGGGTTAATGTGTCAACTAGTCAGTAACACAGTCTGTTCTAGAACCCAGAGTCTAGTCCTTATCCTTAGTCCAGTGTGAATTTAAATACGCTGTCCTTATAATCAACATACACAAATCTTATTTCTCTCAAAAGATATCTATAGATACTCAGAAATTATTTGTATCAGAGTCACTATTTTTAAATTGTGTTAGAAAACAAAATTAACAATGAAATTTGAATCTGGGTCTAACATTTGAAACAGAATATTCACGATCTTTTCTAGCGTTAAGATTCTGCCATAACACATAGAAAGCAGGGAGGGAGAAGAGAGACACACTTGTGTGTCCAAGACCAAATTTTAGCCCCAAATTTCTAGAAGATAATTTTGGTAGAGAATAAGTCAGGGTTTAGACACTTACCAAATCTGCATAAACGTAGTATAAATAGTTATCACTATGCCAAAAGTTTAAGAAAAATTCCCATCCACATTTATATAGCTGACTTCATTATCTCAATTTAAGTGTTTTAATTTCTTTGATGTAAAAATATTTCCTTTGTAGTATAATACTCCTTCAGTCTACAACTGTGCCTTTGGCCATAGCCATGTGTGACACAGCCATTCTTGTGGCTCATGTGGCCCTACCCCCTTGTAGACTTACTACAAAACTGAGTGTTTTGTGGAGGGAGGGCCATATGCCCTTCAGGTGCCCTCCCCATTTTCAATGGGGACTTCAGGTCTGTCCCTCACTTTTTTTATGACTAATCTCAAAATCACACTGCTTTGGAATGACACCCTGGGAGAAAGACAGGTCACTCGTTCCTAATAAAATGTCCCTGAAAAAAAATCAGTTTGTCTTTTGTGTCCGACACTATCACCAAATGACCTCATTTCTGTGGAACTGTAATTACAGCCTCTAATAGAAGATGAGCAATCCCTTTCCTAGTTCTCTTCTTAATGATAATACCACACAGCATTCTAGTCTGGAAAACCAATGGAAGTCTAAAAATTAAGCTCCCTGATGTCACAAATTTATTCATTCTGTGCATGCCTATCTCCAAGTTCCTGGATATTTGTGTTGTTTTTGTTGAAGGGCAAAATCATTTTTGAAGGATAAATTGATGCTTCTGAATGTTGACCTTTTAGGCAAAATAACAGGATGTGAGAGCAGAAAGATCTCCGAGGGTGCCCAAAACAAAACCCTCTTCTCATGGTTAAAGAAAATAAAAAGTTAAGATACTTGGTGTGGAGAGAAAAAGAGACTTATTGTACTCACTCAAATGTTTCTATCTCCCCCAAATGAGACACATAATGGTTTTATGTGACCATAAGCATACTGAGAGGTTTCCTAAGCATATATTCAATGGCAGAGGTGAGAGTAAGATCTGTCATTCACAAAGTCAATCACAGAGTTGTCTTCAGGACAGTGTTCATTTAATTCACCTGCTACTAATGTGCACACGTTGGCTTTGCTTTGTTCCACTATTACTGACATTTACTGAGAACTTGCCATGGACCAAACATGATCTCGGTTCTGGGCCAAATCTGATCCACAGCAATCTCTTTCCTCTAATAGATGGCACTCACTCAGGACATCAGTCTTCATGTGGCCCCTTTCCCAGACGGAAGACAAGCGGGGGAGGGATGTCCCGACCAATGCACATCTCTCCTGGTTGCTTAAGAACTAACTCTGAGGGGCGCCTGGGTGGCTCAGTGGGTTAAGCCTCTGCCTTCGGCTCAGGTCATGATCCCAGGGTCCTGGGATTGAGCCCCACATCAGGCTTCTGCTCAGCAGGGAGCCTGCTTCCCTCTCTCTCTCTGTGCCTGACTCTCTGCCTACTTGTGATCTCTGTCTGTCAAATAAATAAATAAAAATCTTTTTAAAAAATAAATTAATTAATTAAATAAATAAATAAAAATTTAAAACATAAAAAATAAAAAAAAAAAAAAAAAGAACTAACTCCGAGCACAGGCGCAGAGGAGGTGGGGCAGCAGTGATGACCAGTTGAAACTTGGCTCGATATGTCACAGGCCATAATTGGAAAGCTGGTGGGGTGCCTCTCACACCCACCTTCTCCCCATCTTAGGCCATGTCTCTAATCTGAACTGACTCACTGGGCAGAGATGGACAAAGCCAGCTGTTAGCAATGAGGTCATGTTTTTTAAGAAAAAGTTTCCTTTTATTTCTCTGAGTTTCCTGGCATCCAAATTCCACATGGGAATGAAGGGATTTAGAGCAAGTAGACAAACCTTGGATTCAATCCTTGACTCTGCCAGTGTTAATTATGTAACTTCGGACTTCGCTGGGCCTTAGATTTTTAATCTATAAAATTAACCATTTGTCTGAATCTTCTTTAAAGTCCTTCTAGACCTAAAATTCTTTGATGCCATTAGAGTTAGCAGATATAGCAAATAAAAGTACAGGATGCCAAGGAGAATTTGAACTTCAGTAAACAATGCAAAAGTTTTTTAGTATAATCATGTCCCATGTCCTGTATTTCATCTGGCAACCTTAATTTCATGATTTATCTGCCTCTCCAGGATAAAAGCAAATATTCTAGCAAAAGGGAAATGCCTATTCTTGGGGAAACGTTGTCAAAGTTGTTAATATTCTCACATAGATTTACATCAGGAAACATGGCCTCTACTGTGTGGATTGACCTTCCTATTCTCATCAGACAGACTGGCTGTCACTGTGTTCCACCTTGATCAGACACTTTGAAAAGACATCATCAGGGGTATATGCAGGCCCCAGGGTCCCTCTCCTCCCTGCCAACACTCAGCCCAATGGCTACTTTAAAACAAGATTTCCAGGCCCACAGAAAGGCAAATGGGGAGGCTGAGCTGAAGAAGACAAAAGGAAGAACAATGAGGAAAGAGAAGAATCTGAGATTCACCATCCAATAATCACGAACAGATGAGTCTTAAAATGTAGCATAAACTCCAAGTGGGATCAGAAAAGGAGACTGTCAACGAAGATTAAGCCTGGGTGGGAGGAAGGAAGGGCCAGGAAGGCTGAACCCATTATCACAAGAGACCCAAAAAGGCCTGTGGATAAGGCCCTCCAAGTCTTGGCTTGGTTTTCCTTCTATGTTGATTTAATTCTCTGCTAGGTAGGAAATATGAGCAGAACATTCTCATTCAAACCTCACAGAATGCATTCACACAGAAAAACAAGACAACTGGTTACCCCCCCAAAAGAGAGAAAAAAAGTACTGAAAGCAAAAAACAAAACCCAAAAATGGCAGACGAAACTGTCCAGACTCTGTGCTTTGGACTGGAAGTCTAGAACCGACGCATCAATGCGGGCAGTTTGGTGGGCGTCAGAAGTTTTGATTGGTCGCTCTGCCTCTTTTGTTTTTTTTTTAATTAACCAATGGGGGGAAAGAGGTGACTTATACAAAGTCAGCATTTTTTATTCTTTTGAATATTTTCAAAACATTTTTCTAAATGTCTTGATGGGTTTTGTTTTCTTTAAAGGCAAAGAAGCCAACGTGCTGATGCAAAATCTGAACAAGCTGCAAACACCTGAAGAAAAACTGGATTTTTTATTCAAGAAGTATGCTGAATTGGTAAGATGAGCTCTTTGTGTCAGAGAGGTTCAGGCCCTGGTTGGAGCTGAGAAAAGGCCATTCGTTTTTCGGGGACCTCATTAGAGACTATAGCTGGTTACCTCACACAAGCCAAAGCGAGAATCCATAAAAGCAGATTTTTTTTTTTAAAGGAAAAAAGAAAGAGAAAAACTGAGGAAAAACAGCACAACCAAGAAAGAGGATAACACTGGAGTCTATTGGAGTCTAGCCTTCAATTATATGTATAATCTGGGGAACAGAAGAAAGAATTAGAGATCATTGAAAATTGCAGCTATTTTAAAGTTCTTTTTGGGTTTGTAAGAACACAGAAATATACTCGACCTAAAGGCAAACTTTCATTTCTTGTGCCTAGGTATTTTGAGGATCCCCCCCAGGAAGGCAGAGGGATGAGTTTTTCCTACCCTCAGCTTGTGACCCCTTTTCATTTGGGCTTGAAAACTCTATTCATTCAGTCAGTCAGTCAGTCAGTCAACCATTCATTTTTTCTCTTTGATCTACATTCTTCTCCCCACCCCACTGTGGCAGTGTTTGATGTGGGTTGCTTTGTGCCTAGTTCTAGGTCCTCCCCAGGCAGGGTCCCTCTGAATAAGGCCATTGGGAGGCAGGGAAGCCACTCAGAGACATCAGAGAATCCATGAAGGGCACTGCCTCCCCGCCAGTACTCTTCCAGTGGGTCAGTTGGGAAAAAGAGGAGGGTTCAGTGAAGCCAGGCTCTCTGCGAGAGGAGTGCCATTTGAGGTCTGGGCACTACTCCCCAGGGTGTGTGACCCTCCACAGGGATGTGACATTCTCTCACATGACGCTATCCAATGTGCTCCTCCTTCCCATCGGCTTCCTTTTTTTGTTTTAAGATTTTATTTATTTATTTGTCAGAGAGAGAGAGAGCACAAGCAGGGGAAGGGGCAGAGGGAGAAGCAGGCTCCCCAAAGAGCAGGGAACCCAAGGCAGGGCTCGATGCCAGGACACTGGGATCACGACCTGAGTCAAAGGCAGACACTTAACAGACTGAGCCACCCAGGCATACCCCTGGTTGCTTTCTCTAAAAAAATATTTTCACTCACTTATGTCTTTTGGACAAGCAGTGACAGGAGAATGACGCTAAGTCCACAGAGCAAAACACTTCCTCCAAGCGGCAGGCTGAAGGCAGATCTACCTTGCAGCTAATGAAGTTTGGTTCAGAACCTCTCACTAGCATGGGCCCCTCTGAGGCTCTGGATGCAATTCTCTTTTCTTAATTTTGGGGGTTTTTTCTGTGTGCTTTGTTTTTAAAAGAAAACCTCCAAAACTGAATGAACTTCAGGCACACAAGCCCCTCATCTAAACCCTATTGATGGACTGGAGTTTAACAAGTGACTTGTTTTCTTTCTTTTTCTAACTCCCGTCCTATGGTCATGTTCCTCCCTGTCTTCTGTCACCTTGCCTCATCTTCTTGGGCTGAACAGTCCTGCAACAAGCCCAGAGGGACTCCAGAACCCTGAGTCACCGGCTGGTTGTTTAACTATGCCAACACTTTTTAATTGTTTTTTCATCACGTAAACCCCATATCATGATGATATGAAAAATGCTGCAGACACAAGCAAATATATCACTAATCCCATAACCTAAAACACAAACTTTGATTTATCTGTCTTCATTCCCAGTTCTGCTATAGAAGAAGATATAATTTTTATAACAATTACTATTATAAGGTAGATACATAATTTGGTATCCAGTTTTGATGACTTATACGATGGACAATTTCCCATGCAGTTTAGAGTCTTTATAATTATATTTTGTGATAGTTTTGTCATTTTCCATGGAGTGGCCATTATCTCCTGGTTCTCTGATTTGGGGACATTGGATTCCTTCTACTGTTTGCTTTACCAAATACTGCTGCACTACACATCGTCATGCATTAGATCTGTTCCTTCTCCTTCGTTTTATGATCCATGATCCCAATCCAGAATTGGGATTACTGAATCAAACTGCATGAATGCCTTTTGGTTTTTCAGGTGTGTTTTTTTTTAATTTTTTTTTAAAGATGTTATTTATTTATTTGACAGAGAGAGATCACAAGTAGAGAAGCTGGCAGAGAGAGAGAGGGAGCAGAGCTCTCTCTGCTGAGCAGAGAGCCCGATGTGGGACTCGATCCCAGGACCCTGAGATCATGACCTGAGCCGAAGGCAGCGGCCCAACCCACTGAGCCACCCAAGCGCCCCTTTCAGGTGTTTTTTAAATGGTCATAGTATTTTCCAAAAGAATGGCAAAAATTTATAAAGTGAGTATCAAGTGTTTCAACTTGTTTTTATCGCAGCTTGTTTAACATTAGCTATTAACCATCCATGAGCAGTTTCAATGCCATAAAATAAGTTAGGTTTCAGAAATATTTTTCCCAAAAATAAGGCCCCCATTCTGGGTCCATCCTTGGTCTCTTTGGTACTTTCCCACATCGTTTTCTCTCTGCCCCTCCGATTTACCTCTTTTTCCCAAAGCCATTCATATTTCGAGTGCCATGCTCCATACTTGACTGGACAGGCAGCATTCCAGCCATATGGGAAGCCGGGGGAGGGGCTGCAGTCCTCAGCAGCACATCAGAGAAGCATCATTTGTTCCGTCTGCCTGAGATTTTCTTCCTGAGCCACAGCTGTTCACCCTAGGAACATCCTCCACCTACTCACCTTCCCAGTCAGGAGTTCCCCGATGGAGGTTATCTTTCCAGAGAGCCTGCTCAACTCAAGCCTTAGTTACTGTACATTGGCATTTATATCATGTCCTACAATAAACTTTAAAATCCAAAAGGTCATTCTAGAAAAAATGAATAGGAGAAAATTGGCCAAAAACCCATTAAATTTCCTTTTCAGAAAGGAAAAATTGTGAATAATTTCAATCTTTTACTTGGAGACTAAAACCTATTTCATTGCTCACTGATTTGGATATTAATATAAAATGTGTCTGACATGTAAGTGTTAACAAACTAAATCACCAAATTCAAAGCTATGAATCAAACTGCCACTCTAGCTCACTCACCCTTCCAGATTCTGAATCCTATAATATCACCTACTATTGTTTTCATTAACAAATAAGAATACATTTATTTAAAAAGATGCCACATGACCTGGAAGAAGTAGTTTTTCTAAGTGTCCTCAGTTTTAATGTAGTTACAACAAATCACTAATACTATTCTGATTTAGTAATTGGCATTAATTTATTTTTAACTTAATAATAAAAAAGGGAGAGCAAGAAAAATAGCAGATAAAAATCTAATATGCCTGTCACAATAATAAAGAAGCGCCGTGATGTCTAATTGCATCATTAAATCACTAAGCCAGGAAGAAATCTGACTGAAGTTGACTTGGTTGCAATATGTTCACTTTCATTCATTAAGAAACCATATATGGGGGCACCTGGGTGGCTCAATGGGTTAAAGCCTCTGCCTTCGGCTCGGGTGATGATTCCAGGGTCCCAGGATCAAGCCCTACATGGGGTTCTCTGCTCAGTGGGGAGCCTGCTTCCACCTCTCTCTCTCTCTGCCTGCCTCTCTGCCTACTTGTGATCTCTGACTGTCATATAAATAAATAAAATCCTTAAAAAAAAAAAAGAAACCATATATGTATTCACAAGTCTGAAGTATTTGTATAAAATTAGCCACAGGCTTTAAAAAATTGTCAGAAAGTTAAGGGTTTTTATTTAGAGCATTCAAGATAGACCTAGCTAAATGTCAAATGTATATAATTTTGCAGTAAAACTAGAACATTACCTGGTTGATAAGCAAGTGAAGTCATCTCTTCCATCTTACAAAACCCATGTAGGGTATCCTCCTCCTGGTGCTCAGGTAAATCCATATGGGGCAGTGCTCCCCCACCAGGTGCAGTAGTTGATGTCTGTCTGGAGATGTTATGAATGTTACGATTGTAGGGAGTGCTATTGGCATCCAGTAGGCTGGGAACAAGGATGTGGCTAAAGAGCCTACAATGCCCAAGATAGCCCCCCACAACAAGAAATTATGTAGCCCAAAGTCTAAATCATAATGGCAATAACAATATGTAAATTTCAGAAAGAGATAATAGGTCATTCAAAATCCAAATATACTCTCTCTCTCTAAAAAAATTTTTTAGGGGTGCCTGGGTGACTCAGTGGGTTAAAGCCTCTGCCTTCGGCTCAGGTCATGATCTCAGGGTTGTGGGATCGAGTCCCACATCGGGCTCTCTGCTCGGCAGGGAGCCTGCTTCCTCCTCTCTCTCTCTGCCTGCCTCTCTGCCTACTTGTGATCTCTGTCTGTCAAATAAATAAATCAAATCTTAAAAAAATAAAATAAAAAAATTAAAAAAATTTTAATTAAAAATATTGAAAAACAAAAGAGGGGAGGCACCTGGGTGACTCAGTGGGTCAAGCATCCAACTCTTCATTTCTGCTCAGGTCATGATCTCAGGGTCATGAGATGGAACTGTGCCTGGGGCTCTGTGCCCAGTAGGGAGTCTGCCTGAAATTCTCTCTCTCTCTCTCCCTCTTCCTCTGCCTGTTCCCCCACTTTTTCTCTCTCTAAAAAAAAAAAAAAAAAAGAAAGAAAGAAAAAGAAAAGAAAAGAAAAAAAATCCAAATATAAGCACAAATATAACTATGGTCCAAAATCAAAAAACTCATCCGTCCTGTTAACAGGAGGTTCTCACAAGAAACATATAATAAAATACCAATGATTGTCTAATTGAATCTCAAGAAGGAAATCAATTTCAATCAATGTTTATAGCAATATGGGTTCAATTTTTCCTGATGCTATTCTCACTAATAAATAAAAATTGCCCATAAATGTGATGATAGAATACCATGTATGAATATCCCCAGCTTACTCCAGCAATGATCACTGGGTGGCAGGAGGAAGGGAGAAAGATAAGATGTGAACTGAAGAGAATGTGACAGTCTTGTTCGGCTAGTTCAGAAAGAACAAATACTTTTTCAAGACATGGAAACTGAGGCATACATGAGTGTTCATATCATGTGTGTCATCACTTGCATCAGGCTCTTTAGGGCACAAGGAACACCTGGGGTCCAAAAGCCCCAACAGTCTCTCAAGGGCTTTTCCTCCCCTTGAGCCAATAAGGTCATAATCAGGACAAACACCCTCCTGGATTAAGCATCATTCGGGCACTCAGGGAACTGAGTCCAGCAAAGGAAAGGCTCTGGATGAAGAGCTGTCTTTGCAGACAGCCTCACTGAGTGTCCACCTGAGATCAACATGCCTGGAGTGTGCTGTCTCTGGTGGCTTCTGTAGATTGATCCCCAAACTCCCCGCACTGGAACTAGAATTCCATTCAATATTGCCAAATTCAGTAAACGAAAATACAGGACACCCAGTTACATTTGCATTTCAGATAAATATTTTTTTTCACTAAAAGTGTCCAATGCAATACTTTTGATACGCTTTTACTAAAATTTAATTTCTTAATTATTTGAAATTCAAATGTAACTGGATGTCCCACATTTTATCTTGCAACTCTATCCCAGAAGTATAGCACCCCAAGATGGAACATCACATGGCACGTGGTCTTCATTTTCCATGCCATCCCTAATATTCATGGTAGCTGCTGGAGGAGTGTGAGAAACCCCAGCTATGGTTGACAAAAGCACGCATGTCATGATGTGTTGGCCATAAGCGTGGAGGGTGGAGGTAAGGTGGTCGGAGGGCAGGGCATGTTAAGGATACTTGCCATTCATGCTGTTGAACTGTGCAGCTTCTACTTCTGAAGTTCTGGGGGAAAATTGCCGATGCTGGGTATTTGAGAAGCCCTTTCTCTTCTTCCCCTGTTTCACAAACCACAGACTTCATCTTCCATTTTACCAGGAAGCTGTTTTATGCTTTCCTATTAAAAAAAAAAAAAAAAAAAGTTGCTCTAAGTTTGTTTTGAGAAAGAATTGTGAGACCAAATATACACCAAGCAGACACACTGTGGACCATTGCACCAACGAAAGGCATTATCATGAATTCTGAGAGCCTACGGATTCCAAGATGTACCCTTCCCTATTGACCAGTGTCACTGGAGAGACTCAAGAGAAAGGAAATTATTTCTGACCACCAAAAAGAAGATCAGAGTAAGAAGGGATTGTTATAATGATAAGGGAAAAGCTATAAATGATATGTTCTAAAAGCTGTATCTACAAGTATCGCAAAGTCCCATTTGTGAGGTTTATTTGATTGCAGAGGGCTGGCCACGATAACAAAAAAAAAAAAAATGTTTCCAACAACCACAGAGTGGTCTTTCGGTATTTCCTCTTTTGCTGCTTTTCTGTCAACTCAAAAGCGATTCCTGCCATTTTCTTTTATGTTTGCACCCCTTGTGTCTAGCTGGACGAACACCGCACTGAGCAAAAGAAGTTAAAGCTCTTACAAAAGAAACAGGTACAAATCCAAAAGGAAAAGGACCAGTTACAAAGCGAGCACAGCAGAGCTATCCTCGCAAGAAGCAAACTGGAGAGTCTATGCCGGGAGTTGCAGAGACACAACAAGACACTGAAGGTATGTATCACCACCGCTCTGAAAAACACACTTTTTGGCATGCTGCATAGACACAGGCTTCTCCCACTCATGGAAAGAGCATGAGTTTCTGACCTTCAATAAGTTATTTTAACTCCCCAAGGCTGTTTTCTCATCCCTAAAATGGGGATTGTATTATATTACTGTGTGGCCAGGGAAAAATTAAATGAGGTCATATACATACAGTGCTCTGTAGTACCTGACCCAGAGCAGGCTCACAATAAAATGTATGCCATCCCCCTTGCTTTTTTATTACTTCAAGTTTGTTTTATTACTTAAGGTAAGACTCAGCTCTACTGTTTAAAATACAAATTTGTAAAACTACAACAGTTTTTGTATTATAATGAAATCTGCAGGACACAAGAAAAATGGACATAAACCTAACTGACATTAGACAGCAAGATTGAGAGCCAAAAAGTCAATAGTCAGCTGAAAAAGAAACTACTTGGAAAACCACTGAAGCTCTTCAGACTTAATTATTCAATTTAAAGATAATGGACTGATCACTTCATTCAGTCTGCATGGATTTCATTAATTACAGCATAAGCTTGTAGCAGTGTGCCTAATTTGATTACACATAGACGCTAGCTCCATTCAATGAAGCAAGAATCAGGGCTCTCCAAGATAATACTACAGGCGTCCACAATCCCCTTTCCAGTTGAAGATCTCAAAGGTTTTGACAAACAATAATTAATTAGACACCAACATTTCCATGAGATAGTTATTATTACATGCATTTAGAAGGAGATCCTTTAAGAAGCGAGAGATTAAGATCACTGCTGAGTCTGCACAACAGGGTTGGGAAGAAAACTAGAAGAGAATCATGGCTCTTCATATTCCAGATTGGTTTCTGATATCTGGGAAGTGGAAGGCCAGCCTGATGAACTATAACTCTTAGATCACAAGTTGTAGGAGAAGGGCATCTGGCATCGATTCAGTCATTGCTCTGGGGACAGTCAGAAATGCAGGTTAAGGAAATAATCAAGATTAGAGCAGAGATCAATGAGGTAGAAACCAGAGATACAGTAGAACGTATCAATGAAACTAGAAGCTGGTTTTTTGAAAGCATCAATAAGATCGATAAACTATTGTCCACACTAATCCAAAAGAAAAGAGAGAAAGCCCAAATTAATAAAATTATGAATGAAAAGGGAGAGATCACAACTAACACCAAGGAAGTAGAAACAATCATCAGAAGTTATTATCAACAGTTATATGCCAATAAGCTAAGCAACCTAGATGAAATAGATGCATTCCTGGAAAACTATAAACTCCCAAAATTGAACCAGGAAGAAATTGACAACCTGAATAGACCGATATCTAGTAACGAGATTGAAGCAGTGATCAAAAACCTCCCAAAAAACAAGAGCCCAGGACCTGATGGATTCCCTGGGGAATTCTACCAAACTTTCAAAGAAGAAATAACACCTATTCTCCTGAAGCTGTTTCAAAAAATTGAAGCAGAAGGAAAACTTCCAGACTCTTTCTATGAAGCCAGCATTACCCTGATCCCCAAACCAGGCAAAGACCACACCAAAAAGGAGAATTTCAGACCAATATCACTGATGAATATGGATGCTAAGATTCTCAACAAGATCCTAGCAAACAGGATCCAACAGCACATTAAAAAGATTATCCACCATGACCAGGTGGGATTCATCCCTGGGTTACAAGGATGGTTCAACATTCGCAAATCAATCAATGTGATAGAACAAATCCATAAGAGAAGAGAGAAGAACCACATGGTCCTCTCAATTGATGCAGAAAAAGCATTTGACAAAATCCAGCATCCGTTCCTGATTAAAACGCTTCAAAGTATAGGGATAGAGGGAACATTCCTGAACTTCATAAAATCTATCTATGAAAGACCCACAGCAATTATCATCCTCAATGGGAAAAAGCTCACAGCCTTCCCGTTGAGATCAGGAACATGACAAGAATGCCCACTCTCAACCACTCTTGTTCAACATAGTATTAGAAGTCCTAGCAACAGCAATCAAACAACAAAGAGAAATAAAAGGTATCCAAATTGGCAATGAAGAAGTCAAACTCTCTCTCTTCTCAGATGACATGATTCTTTATATGGAAAACCCAAAAGACTCCACCCCCAAACTACTAGAACTCATACAACAATTCCTCAACGTGGCAGGATACAAAGTCAATGTACAGAAACCTGTTGACTTCTAAGCTAAGCTAAAGCAGTAAGGAGACAATTGCTATCATATATATATTCAATGACTCTTAGCAAATGGCTATAATAATGCTTAGTGAAATATATATAGTGAGTGTTGGCATACAAAGATCAGGGAAATAACATCTCAGTTAATATCTTCAGATTAGAAAGTATGGGTATTTCCTATAATACCCCTAAGAAATGGTTTTGTGACTTAATTATGATTCAGATATCAGGAGATTTATTGGAGTAGGAGAATATGTTAATACTGTAGAGGAAAGAGGATACCTAATGGTAAGTTAATGTATTTTCACAGCATAATTCTTAGCATCAGTTTTTATTTTGATCACATTATTCTACTATCATAATAAGGATTTGCACAATTACTTCTATTTAAATCATTTATTTCTTTTTAAAAATCCTATTACATAATTTGATCACAGAAGGCAACTAAATGCAGTATAATTTTACTTGCCAACCATGAAGCAAGCTTTCATAATAACAATTAGAACTGAAAGGCATCCTAAAATGCCTATATCATTTTTCAGCAGTGTCTCTATCTTTGGTATGATATAGCAAGATTAAACCCTTCGATTCTGAAAGAATGAGAGGAATCATCACAAAGCAAATAATTCTCAATATAGATATGGGGGAAATTTGGGCACATTGTTGGTAGTTAGCAATGAAGGGAGGGTTTTGATTTAGGAGAAAAGAGAACAGAAATGATATAAAAGTTAATTTCCAATTCTTGAAGAGGGGAAAATTAGATGTTTCATTTGAGAGTTAAAGAAAATTTGGAACTTAAAATTGCTTTCAGATTCAAAATCTATATTGAACGTTTCAGTTACCCTATGTGACACATGGCCTGATTGTTCTTTCAGAAATAAAATATCCAGCAAATTTTCTAAGATTTCTTTTTACATTCCTGAATTGCTAAAATTGATCTATAGCTATTTAGCTAAATTTGTTTTCTTTTCAAGCTTGCTGATGAAAGTTTTTCTTACTAAGAAAAAGTTTAATATTGTGATCCATTGTATTTACAAAACTTGGATAATACAATTATGTGTTTAACATGCCATAGTTTTTTTTTTTAATAAAGGAATATAAGATCTATTATTATTCTTTCTATACCAAACCAAGGTAACACAGGATCTGTCTCAACAATCAGTGGCCTTTTTTCCAGGCCGCAGCCAAGAGATCAAAACCCACCTACTGCATGTTTGATAGAAATTGGTACAGTATAGGCACTCAGCCCTCAATGGGAGACCCGTCGTCTTTAAAACAAGCCTATTCATCACTAACTGTTAAGTTCAAGACCCTCATTGCACCTTCTCTGGGCAACTGTGTATTTACAACTGAAACTTATCCTCATATATTTATTTTGGGCCTGAGCAAGTTTAGCTCCAGAGAACAGAAAAAATGTCCTGCTTAATCCTCCACACTGATCTCCTTTCACTTACCTAACCCTGAGTTCTATAAACCTGGATGCACATAAACCAGAATAACAAGAAACTTTGCTTTTTATCCACAGGAGGAAACCCTTCAGCGGGCACGAGAGGAAGAAGAGAAAAGGAAGGAGATCACAAGTCATTTCCAGACCACTCTGACGGATATCCAGGCCCAGATTGAACAGCAGAGTGAGAGAAATATGAAGCTGTGTCAGGAGAACACAGAGCTTGCAGAGAAACTGAAAAGCATCATTGATCAGTATGAGCTCAGAGAGGAGGTGAGAACCACATCAAACAACTTAGGAGCACTATATATAGATCCAGATCTGGGCTGTAAAGGTGGGGGACTTGGTTAATAAGAAAGTTATGGCCGGCCCTCTCAATTGGTTAATGTTTAGGATTGGATTTCTTTTACTAGCCAAAATAAAAACAGGTGGTATTGCAAAATACCTGGCTGAAAGCCATATGGGATTTCTCTAAAACTGGAATCACTGCAAAGCAAAGGCAATAAATAGGAAGTAGTAGGCCATGAGCACAGTTACCTTTGAAAATAGTATTTCTCAGCTTTTTAAAAACACTTTCTACAGAGCCAGGAAATATCTCACAGACTCCTTCTTAAGAATCATCATGTCATCTAAATGTCATCTACACAGTGTGTGTTCTATATGTCCCACAAACCAATAGTAGTATTAATAATATAATAATTATAATATTAATGGTATTACTTATTCAGCACTGAGTTTGTGCTAGGAAAGTTGCTGAGTACTATAATTTACATACAATATGTCATTTCATTGTTTCAACAATCTTATGCATTAGATAATACCATATCCACATTATATGGGTGGGAAGCAGAGGTTGAGATTAAATCACTTACCTATAGTCACAAAAGCCAAAAGAGTTTTATTCTCAGTACTTTACATTAGGAAGACTATGAGGATATTTTATTATTCCAAAATTGTATCTTAATATTTAATATATTTTTAAGACTCCAGAAACCTTCTCAGGGTTTTTATATATCATATTATTTACCCCATCCCACCCAAATTTTAAAAGTCTGCCTTAAATGTCACAGAACATAATCAGAGTGGCTCTGTTGACAACATGCTAAGATTTTGTCAAGAGAAAAACTGAGCCAATAGCACACGGAAACAATAGTTAGGTAAACCAAGAAGTCCCTCACAGTAAGCCAAAATGCCATGCTACCATTTTACCTTGTCACCAAGATCAATCCTACTCCAGAGTGGAGGTTCAGGCAAAAGCAAAAGGGAAGAAGCTTAAAAAAAAAAAAAAAAAATTTCCGTACTCTTCAGAGAGATTCCCAGATAAGAATGGCCTAGTAGACCAGTTGTACATTCTTGAGATTGGTTCTAGATAAGCCCCAAGGCTAGAATTCCATAGGTCCTCTTGTCAGTGGGACCTCCTAATGACCAAGAAATTTACACTGAAGTAGAATTTGAAGCTTCTCTTCACTAAGCTAGGCGAGAGGTCAAAAGATGTAGAGGAGGTAGGAGCACATTTGCATATCAATTCATCCATGACCCTTGGCTTTTGTCTTGCTCACCAGAGCAGCAGAGTTGAAGTGGGGAGGGGTTCTCCCTCAGTCCCAGACCCTGGGCCACAGACTGGTCCCCCCCAGAGCTGCTTCACAACACTTGAGACAAGAATGTGGTAGAGAATTCACTATGATAAATTATATGAATATGATTAAAACCAGTTTTAGAAATTGCTAAAATACTGAGTGATGGTGCTACAGCTCTTGCAATATACATCAGTCTGCCCTCTAGCATAATAAGCAGCATCATACTTAGTAGTTACTACATTTAGACAAAGTTGGGAGCTTCTGGAGCTAACATTACTGAACTCTGCACCTCAACCTTTTGTAGCCACTACTTTGCGTAGCGCTAAATGCAGGCAGGGGGTTTTACTAATTTATGATTTTATACAAAGCCATAAGTGATGCCAGTGCATTTATTCACATCCACCTCCCTTTTCTTTAAATCTCAAAACCTATAAAACATGTGTGTTGATATTACTTTTTTATCTTTCATTTCTCAGCACCAATAATTAAGTCAAGCTTGCTATGTGCCATTTCTTTTCTCTTAGCATCTGGACAAAATATTTAAACACAGAGAACTGCAGCAGAAGCTGGTGGATGCAAAACTGGAACAGGCCCAAGAAATGATGAAGGAAGCTGAGGAGCGACACAAACGCGAGAAGGAATATGTACTTATCAGTGTGCTTATCTGGTGTACTTGGGGGTCAGAGAACCTCTGGGAAAGTTGTTTTTGACCACAGTCACAGAGCACTAGACTGATGGAGGGAGCTGAGCTTCCCCAGAGAACTACATTGGCCAGCCCACAGAAGGCACGGTACCTACACGGTTTTTGACATAAAATCATCGTGCATCCATGCCACAAGCCTTTTTCAAGCACCTGTCTTATACTAAGCATCATCCTAGGTGCGGGGGGATAGCAGTGAGCAAGACCAAGAAGGCCATATCCCAGCACAGAGACTAGAATCTAACTAAGACAAAACAGGCAATAAACAAGCAAAAGTGAAGGAAAATTTCAGATAATAATTGGTGCTATTAGGGAAATGGGGAACTGAAAAGGGGCAGGAGGGAGCTACTCTAGATGGGGTGACCAGTGGCCAAGTTTTATAGCTTTTTAAGCTATAAAGTAGTTTGGATTTTACCCTAAACATACTGAGAAAGTCTAGGTAGTTTTAGCTATGGAAATAACATGATCTGCCTTGCATCTGTTAACAGATGACCTTGGCTTCTGGGTGGAAAATGAATTGAAGAGGGACAAGGAGCCTACTCCAGCAATATGGAAGAAGCCTGATGGTGGCTTGGGTTGGGGACATGGCAATGTCCAGTTGGGGAGCTGGACATGGATAGAAGTTTTCAGTTCAAAACCAACAGTCAGTGCTCTGAATTGAAGATGGTGACAGTGAGGAAAGGGAACAGTCAGGGATGGCTTCTGAGGTTGGGTTTTAAGAAACTGAGTGGTGGCTTTTTTTTTTTTTTTTTAAAGATTTATTTATTTGACGGAGAGAGAGAGATCACAAGCAGGCAGAGAGGCAGGCAGAGAGAGGGGGAGAGAAGCAGGCTCCCTGCTGAGCAGAGAGCCCGATGCGGAGCTCGATCCCAGGACCCTGAGATCATGACCTGAGCCGAAGGCAGAGGCTTAACCCACTGAGCCACCCAGGCGCCCCTGAGTGGTGGCTTTTAATGACATCTCACTAATTCCAAACATTCTGAAAACAGCTGTAGGGCCATTCTGCTGATGCAAGAACTAAGTCTCATAGAAGATAAGTGACTTATTTAAGGTCACACACTGCTAAGTGATCAAGATGTGTTGGTCACACTTCCAACACATCACATCTCCAGTGTGTCTGTCTCCAAAACCTAAGCTCTGTGATTGTACATCATACTCAGAGGTGTGTTTCAGAGGCATGCATCGAAGTGTGTGTCTGTCGCTGGGGAGAGAGATTTAAAATGCAATCAGTGGACCAATCATTCAAATTTGGCCATTTAACAACTGATCACAAACTCTGCGATTACCTAAAACCAGACTAGAATCACTTCAGTTTGTTAGAAGAGTAATTTAATCATAACTTCAGTTTCCAAACATAGCAACAAAGGATGAATTTTAGAGAACATAATGTGATGGACACTAAATAATCTCAAATCAGAAGTCCATGGGCTCTTAATAAAAAAGGTTAAGTTGGGGCACCTGGGTGGTTCAGTCAGTTAAGTGTCTGCCTTCAGTTCAGGTCATGATCCCAGGGTGGTGGGATCAGGTCCTACATAACACTCCCTGCTCAGCAGCGAGTCTGCTTCTCTCTCTCCCTCTATGATCCCTCTTGCTCTCACTCTCTCTCAAATAAATAAAACCTTTAAAAAAAGTATGATGTTAAATCCACCTACAACCGTCTCTCAAGAAATAAAGCATCTAATTATTAGTCAGAATCCAAGAAAATTGATATGCCATCATTGGCATAATTATCCTCTTGGGCAAACTATGCTCCCTTCAGAATAGCAGTATCTTTGATATATAACATAAGACCTGACAGAAGAATAACTAGGCAAAGCTTCGTTTGAAAGAGACTAGGGGCAGTTTTGAGGTGACCTAGCCTTAGCAAGAAACTAGCGTGCTACCCTTTTTTCCTACCCTCATTTAGCAAAGCAGCAGATTTGAGGCCAAAAAAAGTAGCCCCCTCAGTTCTTCAGGTTCCAGCTGTGATGCTTCTTATTGAAAGCAGTGAAATATCAAGTCAGAGCTGGAAGGTTCTTTCATCCCAAGCGGAACAGGCAGCCACCTTCTTCCCTCTTGGTCAGGGAACCACCAGTCACCACTGGGCTCCTCTAGCCTGCTCAGTGAAGCAGGGGATCAGATGGCCAGAGAGGAGCCTACAGGTCTTGGACTCCACATCTGCCCCAGCCCTCCATTGGATGGGTTGATTTCACTCCTATAACAATTAACCTTCATAGCTCACTGAGAGGCATAGAGGAACAGATAGAATCCATTTTACAAATGGAGAGGTTGAGCCAAGAGAAAAAGATAAACTTGAATACTAAAAAAGATGCTTCCAAGTTGTTTAAAATGATGACTTTATTGTTTTTTGTTCTGATTGCAAAAAGTGGACATTTTTAAAAATAGGAGCAAAGAAAAAGAAAAAAATAAATCAGCCTGTCTTCATATATACTAGAAACTTCATAAGCTGATGGCCACCTAATTGATGAGCCAGATTAATCCATGATGTCCATCATTCTTTCTGTAAACACACTAAAGATGCCCACAGCATGTTGAATCCTGTGCCTAGACAGCCACTTGAGTGTCTATACATGGGTTCCCAGGTTAAGTAAGATGGCAGTGACCAAGAATCAGCTCTTTGCTCCCAAACCTTTTCTTTCAGTTATTCTTGCTTTTGTATTATGAAAACCAACAGAATGACAAAGAAACTGATGAAATATAAGTGTGAAAAGAAAGAGCTGTTTCTATGAAAACTATGCTTAAGGCTTTGAAAGACTAAATGTAGACAAATAGCACGAAACATGTTATTTTTGGAGTGGGAGTAGCTATAAAAGACTGGGAGAAAGCTCTACAACTCCAGAGAATTACCCAATCAAGCTTCTTTGCAATACCTTTAGGTCTGTTGGTTCTAGTACTATTGTTTTAAAAAGTAAAAAAAAAAATAAAAAAAAAATTATAAATTGTATGTGGCACATTATGGACATAATTTTTATAAAAACAAAACAAACAACAAAAAGCTTCTCTGAATTCCAATCAGAAGACCCACACCCCAAACAAAGACCGCAGCCCTCTATCAAAACAAATAAATAGGCATCTTAAGTTGAAATAACATTTTTTTTATTTTTATAAAGATAGGTTTCTTTTCTTTCTTTCTTTCTTTCTTTCTTTTTTTCTTTCTTTCTTTCCTTATTGGAGTGAGAGAGCGCAAGCAGTGGGAGGGCCAGAGGGAGAAGGAAGAATCATACTCCCACTGAGTGCAGAGACTAATGCAGGACTCCATCTCACAACCCTGAAATCCTGACCTGAACCAAAATCAAAAGTCAGGTACTTAACTGACTGAGCCACCCAGGCACTCCAAAAATAACATGTCTTACATATGTGTGTGTGATTTTTATACCTAGAACAGCATTTTCAATTCAACCCATCAGCTCCCAATTCTATCTTTGATATGAGGGCCTTGGTTGTATTTGAAAGGCTGCCTCCTGGAAGAGGGATAAGACTTACTGAGTAAATCTTCTATAAGATTTGGCATAATAGGTCAAAATTCTAACCCAGTGTTTCTCAAAATGTAATCCATGGAACACCAACATCCAAACTGTCTTGGGGATTTGCTCTCACTATAGACTGTAATCACACCCTGTACTTCCCAGTTGACAGTGTTTGAGAGGGATCTGCTTTTTATCATGCTCCTTAGCAGATTCTGATGCATGCAGTGGTGGAGAACCATGGTCTACGAGGACAACTTTGAGTTTACTCTAAAGAAACAGCTTCTCACCCCAATAATCCAGGTGGAGGTATTCTGGAAATGTCTGAGCAGAGGCTGGATGATGGTTGAACAGGATTGCTAGAGGAGGTTCCAGAATTTGGTGGGAGGTTAAGTTTTGTGTGATTCGTGCTTGAGTTGTAGGTTATTTTTCTCTTTTTTATCCATTAGAACCACAGATTTTCAGTGGAGAATCCAACTGTTTAGCTGCTTTCTTAGCTTTCCTAGATACTTTGCAAAGTTGCCCAAAAATTACTTAAGAGGGTTAGTTAGCAAGTCATTAAGTTTTAGACACAATTATCACCACATGGTGATGTAAAGGGCAATTTGACAGTCTTTCCATGCATTCTCTCTCCTCACAGTTGCTGAACCAGGCAGCAGAGTGGAAACTTCAGGCCAAAGTGCTGAAGGAACAAGAGACAGTCCTACAGGCTCAGGTGAAGGGGGGACAACAATGCATGGGGTGTGAAGCAAAGCTAGTCTGTACCAGGCCTCATGTGTGGCAGGGCCGGGGGATACAGGAATTAGAAATGAACCCTAACTTCGTATTTATTATTTTAAAATAAAAAGAAAAGCACAATATTATCTCTAAGAAAAATAAATGCTCCACACAACATCCAGTCAGATGGTTTGCTGACACACAAGTGAGGGCCCTGAGATGGCCAATTGGAATGAGCTGGTGTCCAGGTTCCTGCCTATCTGTTCATAAAACATCCTCTCTCTCTCCTCCCTATTACCCTACTAAAGCAAGAATAAAATGTAAACTGATCAAATGCACCATCTAGAATATCCTTGCTTATTAGATATGATTTATAACAAAAGGAAATTAGAAAAATAAAGTCAGTACCAAAGTTTTGTGCTATCAGAAGTTGGACTTGACAGTGGTTAATGACTAGAAGCAACAGACAAGTAGGGAAAAATTTTGATTTGGCTTTGTGATGTCATGTGTGTGTTCTGAGGAGACTGCAAGAATTCCTATTTCAGACTCAAGAATAAAGCCTCAGGCAACAGATGATTCTATCCATCCTTTCCATGCCCCTGGGGCTCTGCCCTTCCGGCAAACGTTCCCTGTCGTGTTCCAGATGTCGTGTTCCAGCATCCCAGGGCTGAGCTATAGAGTGGTGCTAGCTCCCCCGCTGGCAGTCCCAGTGCTACAAGGACTATAAGTCCCAGAGAGCAAATAAACTCACAAAACGTGGGGAAATCACAAGTCTTCCAAGCTGGGCAGCGTTAATTTCAGATTTGCCTAATTCACTTGTAAATGTTTAAGTGCAGACTGCTATATCTTTATTCACTACAAAAAACAAAACCAAGAAAACTTGTTCATTGCCTGAATGAACAAGTTCAATGGATACTTGTTCATTTTTTTTTAAAGATTTTATTTATTTATTTGTCAGAGAGAGAGAGAGAGAGAGAGCGAGCACAGGCAGACAGAGTGGCAGGCAGAGGCAGAGGGAGAAGCTGGCTCCCCACAGAACAAGAGCCCGATGTGGGACTCGATCCCAGGACGCTGGGATCATGACCTGAGCCGAAGGCAGCGGCTTAACCAACTGAGCCACCCAGGCGTCCTGATACTTGTTCATTTTTAAAGAGGCAAATAAGAGGGGACCTGGGTGACTCAGTGGGTTAAAACCTCTGTCTTCAGCTCAGGTCATGATCCCAGTATCCTGGGATTGAGCCCCACATCGGGCTCTCTGCTCAGTGGAGAGCTTGCTTCCTCCCCTTTCTCTCTCTCTGCCTGCCTCTCTGCCTATTTGTTATCTCTGTCTGCCAAATAAATAAATAAAATCTTTTTTTTAAAAAAAGAGGCAAATAAGAAAAGAGACAAAATCACAAATCTTATCACTGCAGATAAAAACACAGATAGCATTTTCATATCTAAACTTCCTAAAGCAGACTTTTCCAGTGTGTGAACCAAAAGCAACGATAATTGTTTTCCCTCAGTAATATAAAATAACCCATCAAAATCGTTTTTAAATACTGATTACATAGGAATTTGAAGCATGTTTCCTACTCTCAATAAAATCAAAGGATCCAGAGTTAAAAGACTCAACTCTAGAGTTACAACTCAAGCTCATCCTTTAGGTTAGTACAGAGCCACCACATCATGGTTGTGGGGTGGGTGGTAGGCAGTGGTCACTCTAACCAGAGGTGGGCAGGAGGAGAGGAGGTGTGACCTCACAGTCTTGGAGACAGTCCAGAGAATCAGGGCAGGGCTCCTGGCCCTGTCTCTGCCCCGTTCGCAACAACAGAGCCTTGAGGGGTACAATAGATGATATTTGAAGCTCTTCATTGTTCATGACAAGCAATCCCTACTCCTCTATACTAAATGGTGATAATGAACCTGAGAAGGGTAGTTTAATACCACTAGACTCTGGGCTAGAGTCATGTCTTCAGCTGGCGTCTAGGCATTTAAAGACCTGTAGAATAAAACATAAAGGTGTGATCCAATATCCCACCAATACCCCCTCAAATTCGAAAAAGCTTCTACCAGGGGTTTTAGATGTGCCCATGTTCCTCGCTTGTCCCTCAGTACTGGACTGAGTGACTGAGTGCAGGGACCAAGATCAGGGTCCTGGCTCTTCTGCTCAGAATTTGTCTGACCTTCATCTGAACCCCTCTACACCTAAATTTCTTTGTCCATAAAACAAGAATACTGTAATACATCAGTGACCCCAAGCTGGAGTTCTCCGACCTCTGGTAGCCTCATCAATTTTCAGTATTTCCAAATCATAACAGCATACAAGGCATCAGCTACTGTCTAACATATAGTTGTTTTTGACATCATATCAGCACTCCCTCAGCAGCTATGGATGGCAATTATTCACGTGTTTGGTTAAGTTTATAAAAGGAAAATGAGTAAATGAATATGTAATAGATGCAATTTGTTTTCAAGTTATGCATGCAAAGCACTTAGCTCCATGCCTGGCCTCTAAGAAGTATAATTAATTCAACCAGTATTGATTGAGTACCCACTCAGTGCTCGGCAAGATTCTAGGTGTTGGAGTTGGACTAGTTAACTAGTCAATAAGAGAATCAAAAATCCCTACCTAATTAAATTTGCAATCTAGTGATAATGGTAATTTTAATTAAAATGCTAACAATTAGTGTATGAGCTAATACAACTATTATTTCATAGGTAAGGATCTACATAGGGATGTAGGAGACAAAAGGAGTCTGTAGGGGCAAAAAAAATTGAAGAACACCTGGAAAAGATGATCTCCAGACCCTGTCCAGCTCTAGTTCTTGAAGGCAGAGAACTTCCAGGGTTGAAGCTATGTAGCCCCAAGCTAGGTTAACTTTGACTTATCCTCTACTTTCCATCATGTGGGTTCTCTGCAAGGACCCTCCCTTGTATGTCTCTTGTCTTCAAGGCACATTTCAAAACTCCAGTAATAACTTAATCTTCAAGAAGAATATAGAGGTCCCCAAGCCCTATGTCAAATCATGTTTAAAGTTCTTCTTGAAAAGTAGCAACATTATATTTTTAAAACCTTTAAACCTTGAGAAACAAAATCTACCACAGGTCAGTGTGCTTAGCCTTTGACCACTTCCTTTGGTTTTACAGTTTCTTTGAAGGAGCGGGGTGGTCAAAGACAAAGGTCTTAAGTCCATTGAGAGCACTTCTATGGTCTGAGCAAGGGAAATAACAAGGACAGATTGTGTTTTACTAGACGAAGTCACTTTCAGCAGTAAAACAACAGCTTGCCAGTTTGGGGCATGGTTTTCACTTAGGGAAGGGATATCTGGCTCTCAATTATACAAACCAAGGCAACAGAGTAAATGTCAGAAATGATCGATGGGATGCAATTGTCACTACAAATAGAGTGTTCACTGGATCGATACAGATGAAGATGGTGGATGTGGAAAGTCAGCAATACTAATGACACAGCCACAAAAATACCGCCCAAGGGGGAAGATCACCGAGTAAATTGTTAAAGACAGTAATCATAGCCTTTAAACCCTGAAGTCCTCACCTTCTGTAAAGAGGATGAGAGGAGATTACTCTGCAACTACTATAATAACTGGACTTGTTCCCAAACCAAATCTCACAGGTTTGTTAAGATGATTCCTAGACACGCTTCTGTTTCCTATATGCTATGAAAGTTTATCATTAAAATTTGGTGCTCCACTAAAAGAAGGTGTGTGTTGCTCACTCACTTAAAAGTGAAAATGTTGGAGCAATTGTTGTTGTTACTGACCCTAAAATGGTTTGGTTCTATTTCTGCCTCTGGCAAAAGTACTGTGGATGACCTCTGGATGTCCCTTCCATGCCTCTCTGAAATACCAAAATAAGAGCAGGCATATGACACATGAAACCAAACATGCACCATGTCAGCATAGTAGTGAGAGGGGGGGTACTACCAAGCAAACTGGCATAAAGTAAACAGGAAGTGCCCCTTTTTAGTTAGTGTAAGTAAAGAGCCTTAGAGTTGGTTACCTGAGAAAAGTATAATCCACACAGCTTTTGCCACCTACAACAAAGAGGTCAAATAGGAAGAAAAGCTGAGTATGAAAAATAGTTCTAAGAAGGGAAACGAAGACTTTAACTGTTTCATGGGTGTTGAGTTTCAGTTTTGCAAGATGAAACAGTTCTGGAAATCGGTTACACAACAACGTGAATAGAAGTAACAATACTGAACTGCACACTTAAAATAACTGAGATGACAAATCTTATATTACATGTAATTAAAAAAGAAAGAAAGAAAGTTGAGGGGGAAAAAAAAAACAGTCCCTAGAAAAAAGCCAGGAGAAGGGGTAATGAAATGAGACACCACTTCCGGGCACTCAGGGTGTGTCTGCCTTCTCCATCCCACAAGAAAACAAGAGGAAGGGAAACAAAATCTGCCCAACGTATATACCTGAAAGAGCGTTCTGCCCAAAGGAAGCTGGGCGCAGCTGTCCCTGCTGATACTGACAAGGTTGTGCCCAGGAGGTAGACAGCACATGCGCCCACTCCTGCTCCTCCTGTGGGCGGCCTGCGACTCCAGGGCTGCAAGAGTGGGTTTGGGAGGACCTGCCCAGTAGACTGGAATATCTGCCACCCTCCTGTAACTCTGCAGGAATTACTGAGCAGTGTGGAAAAGAAAGGAGAGAAAGCCAGAAAAAGAAGCCTAACAGGAGATAGGACCAAGAATGCAAAGGAACGGATTTTGCAATAGAAGGTGAAGAAGATCATCCTGGAGTAGCTGTTCCCACCCTAGACCACTAGATCATGTACAGTGTAGGTAGCCAGTCCCATACAAGCTTATTCTCGGATTACGGGTCTTGACCTACTCGGGGCCCCGAAATCAACTCAGTGAATCCCAGCCAGTACTTTGGAAAAAACAAACAAACAAACAAACAAACAAAACCCAGAATTGAATAGAATAGGTCAAGAATGCATTGCACATAATGAGTTAACGCGTAAGGATTATCTTATGTGCTGTGTGTGTGTGTGTGTGTGTGTATGTGTGTAAAACCCTGGTGTACCTTCCTGGCCATGACTTCCCTGATGCTCCTTTACCCAGGCTTCTTTAACCTGTGTGCCAAGGAATCATGAGAAACAAATTTTAGGCCACTAGAGTTGTCCTGTCACATATTCACAGAGCTAAGGTGTGATTTTAAGGTGATGGTCAGCCACTGTTTGACTTTGGAAAAATTTATCCTGTGGAGAGGTTTTATATTATCATTTCATTGTTCTTGTTTACTATGGTAAAAGCTCTGCTATTCTAAAACATTTGAGAATAAGCCATTCTAGATAAGCAGATTTTCTGGGTTATAGGAGTAGAGTCCCATACTCTCTCTACCTCTCACCCCCAAGACTGAGAACTCTCCAATCTATTGGCTTCCAGTCATTCGTTTTTTTCTGCTTTTGAAATGACAGTGTCACAAGTACCACCAGCTAGTCATCTGGTGCCCATTTGAGGAGTTGGAGCTGCTCCAGGCATCCAACAGTACCAAATACTCATTTGAAAATGCAGGCTTTACTAACATGTACCATCTATATTAAATCTCCACTCATTCAAGGCATGTTATTCTAAAATCATTTTGAAAACAACATTTTATTATTGCATTACTGTCACTAGCAACACACTCTCCTTCCCTGCCCTGCTTTATTCCTACCACAAACGCAAGCCTTGGAATAAGGATGTGGATAGAGGTACAAGGTACCACTCCCATGGTGAGCCACACACTTGCCAACCCTAACCCATATGATGTCTAGTATTGTATGCCTATTAGAAAAGGCATTCCTTCCTCAAGACTCATTCTTTCCATCTATAGAAAACTGGTATAATAAACAGATTTTGATGAAAAGGGACATTTAACTGCTATTGGCTAGAACACTGTATTCATAAACATACAAAACCAACTTGACTAAAATATAAATGGCGGCTGCTCAGTGTGGACCAAGCTGTATAATGGCAGCCACCCATCTCTGGTCCACCTTCTCTACCACTTCTTTTCATTCGTATACGTTCACACTCTGGGTAAGCGTAAGGCTCACCTTCTCCACAAAAACATGGCTCACATGATCACCTGCCATGTTCATTTCCTTCTCTGACTGGCACTATCTTTAATGGAGCTGGCACTTTGTATTCACTGTTCCACAGTCAAGCTGTCTTTGAGAATATCTTCCTATCAGGAGCGCAAGACTCTCAAAAACAGTAGTCACGTGTTAAATGTTTTTGTACATAGAGTCAATACGTATGTTCAGTGCTCAATAAAAGTTTGTTGATAAAAGTTATGATATAATGAAATGGCGATGACACATGTTATTTTTTCATTTTTCCTTAAAAATATACTTCAGTCATACTCACTGACTTAGGTTATTCTCATAGTAAATAAAAGAACGGAACATACTACTAATATTGTATTGAGAATTCCCTTAAGTCATTTTTCTTCTCAAATAATGAACAATGACATGTTGTATGACATGTTGTTTTGTTCTGGAAGCATTCTGAAAGCAACCCTAAAATGGATCCACTTTTTTCCGTATTTACAGCTTACCCTCTACTCTGGAAGATTTGAAGAGTTCCAGAACACACTAACAAAAAGCAATGAGGTGTTTGCCACTTTCAAACAAGAAATGGATAAAGTGAGTATTACTTATCCCCCACAAAATCCTGACATTTTCTACTTTGACAGGCAATTCTCCTTTGGGTTTTTTTGGGTATTTTGGGGGGGGTATTTTTCTCTCATTAAGATACTTCAGTGCATTTCATAAAGTAATGAAACATTTATACATGCAAATAAGATTTAGACTGTATTTTTTATTGGTAAGTATTTTTCTGATGAATTAATCTCAGAAAGAGTCCAAAAACACTAAAATACATTTTCACTCTGAGAAAGAATATTTTCCTTTTCTAGGCCATGGAGAGCTAAGGGGTGGGGGGGGGGGAACAAGAGCTGGCAATTTAACATTATATTGTTTATACAATTTTTTTAATCTTATTTTTAGAGATTGAAAAAACAACTTTCATAAAAATATGCAACAGGAGAATTTTAGAATAGAAAAACCATTTCAGGGGCACCTGGGTGGCTCAGTGGGTTAAAGCCTCTGCCTTCGGCTCAGGTCATGATCCCAGGGTCCTGGGATCGAGCCCCGCATCAGGCTCTCTGCTCGGCAGGGAGCCTGCTTCCTCCTCTCTGCCTGCCTCTCTGCCTACCTGTAATCTCTATCTGTCAAATAAATAAATAAAATCTTTAAAAAAAAAAAAAAAAGAAAAACCATTTCATGCAATCCTTCTTAGAAGAGAATATGTGTAGTACGTTATAATTGACAGTGCCTTGATTGAGAAGGAAGCCTGAATTCAAATTCTAGGTGTGTTGTCACTCCTCAAGTAGCACTAGACAATCCACTTAACTTCCTTCCAATTTTATTTTTCTTATCTACACATTAAGATACCATTTCCGTTTCCTATTTCACAAGATTGTGAAGTTCAAATATAAATTAATGTGCATTTAAAGGGTTTTAAACTTTATTATAATCTTTTACAAATATAAGGTGCTAAATATTATTATTAGACATAATGTTTAAATTTTATTCAATATAATATTTTCCCAAAATAAAATCAGTACCAGAACTGTGTTTCTTAACAGGCACTGGCATTAACTTTTTCAAGTGCACAAAGCATCCTTTTAAAGACATTTTCTTGGGGCACCTGGGTGGCACAGTCAATTAAGCATCTGCCTTCAGCTCAGATCATAATCCCAGAATCCTGGGATCAAGGCCCACATCAGGCTCTCTGTTTAGCAGGTAGTCTGCTTCTCCCTCTCCCTCTGCTCATGCTCTCTCACTCGCTCACTCTCTCTAATAAATAAATAAAATTTAAAATTTTTTTTCTTAAAATTATATGATAAATTTCACAATTCAGTGAACCAACATAAATAGGTGAATACTTGTTAAAATTATAACTTATTCACTCCAGAATGGCTCTATCTGTTTTTCAAAAATCTTTTTTTCACTCTGGAGTGTTAAGACTAGAATAAATATTAGAGTAGAAAAGTGTTTTTGCTTATTTCAAAATTATTTTTGAGATTGGAATAAATATTAAAACAGGAACTTTTAATCTGGAATTTTTTTTTAAATATTTTATTTATTTATTTGACAGAGAGAGAGAGATCACGAGTAGGCAGAGAGGCAGGCATAGATAGAGGAGGAAGCAGGCTCCCTGCCGAGCAGAGAGACCGATGCGCGGCTCAATCCCAAGACCCTGAGATCATGACCTGAGCCGAAGGCAGAGGCTTAACCCACTGAGCCACCCAGGTGCCCCTAATCTGGAATTTATTTATAGACTTTTAAAGTCAACTTGAGAATTAGCGTGCGCACACACACACACACACACACACACACAAACTGATGTGCATATTGTATTTCTTTGAATGTGGTTCCATAGATTTCATCAAATTCTTGAAGAGGTTGATGACTTTAAAAAGTATCTAAACTACTAACTTGTTAAGATGCTCAAAATTAAAAGCCATTCAAGGCTCTCATAGCTTCTCTATAGAGCCCAGGGGCTAACAGCCTGGGCTCAGTCTCTGGCCTCCAGGCATACACAGCCTCAGACAGCATGGCACAGAGCAGCAAGTGTCCAGGTGTCGTTCATCCAGAGAAACTGCACCTGATTACATGTCTGACCTTCACTTCGTCCAAGCAGAGCAGAGAACCAACAAAAAGTTTCAGGCTCAAAAAAGAGGGGCTTCATTTTATTAACTTCTGTATCTTCTATACCCAGCTCCTTACTGGTGACCAGCAGATACTCCACATATGTTGTATTAAATAGAATGAAATAACTCTAGTCCCACTCTTCTGCTAACTCACCTGAATATTCTTTCACCTCTTTGAGCCTCAGTTTCCCCAGTGATCAGTGGAGGTGAAAACAGAACCTTCCTTATGACACTGTTTCAAGGATGAAGTTAATAAGGCACGTAATCGCATTATATGAATCCCACCACACTCTACAAATGCAAAGACAGGGAGCAGGAAGATGGTAGTGGAGTAAGAGGATCCTAGGTTCGTGTCATCCTACAAACACAACTAGATAGCTATCAAACCATCCTAAATACCCCAGAAATTGACCTGAAGACTGACAGAATGAACTCTACAACTAAAAGGAAAAGAGGGCCACATCAAAGAATGTAGGAAGTACAGAGAGAGCTGTGGTCATAGAGAAGGGTGAGAGAGTGACAGAGAGGAGCACACAGGGGAATGCACAAGGAGAGCATTTCCCCAAGCCATGGGCTTGGAAAATGAGAGGGGCTAAATTTTGTGAGTTCTTGCAACCAGCGGGTCTTAAAGCTTGGACTTTTAAGGCAGCAGTCTTGGCTGGAGAGAAGCACACAAAAAAACCAGGGTAGACAATGTGGAAACAGTGATGTGAAGAGCACCTGGGGCACACGGTGAGGAGATTATTCACTCTTCTCAGAGTGTGTCCCTGAGGGGCTACATTCACTGAAACACCTCTCCAGAAACAAAGGAGCTGGCCAGCACCATTTTCCTCCTCTGCCCCTCAGCATAAATGCAGAGCCACCTGCAGGAAGCAGCACAGCACAGATACCAGCCACCACAGCACACACTGGAGACCTTCCCTGAAGCGCCAGGCTCTGGGCACTAAATGACCTTTGCTTTATAAGGCCCTTACTTTCAGGAGCAGAAGACATAACTGGCCTTTATAACACTGAGAAGAAGACTTAGACAAAATGTGAAGATGGAGAAGTTGATCCAAAATGAAAGAATAAGATGAGACCACGGCCAGAGACCCAAGCAAAACAGATATAAGTAACATGCCTGATGGAGAACTTAAAGCAACAGTCATAAGAATACTCACTGGCTTGAGAAAAGAAGAGAAGACACCAGTGATATCTTCTCATCAAACCACAGAGATGAAAGAGTTTGAAAAGAATCAGAGATGAAGAATGCAATAAATGAGATTGGAAACAGGCTTGTTGCAATGAACATCAAGCTGGAAGAAGCAGAAGGACAAATTAGTAACCTGGAAGACAAAGTAATGGAAAGTAAAGAAGCTGAACAAAAGAGAGAAAAAAGACTCATGCAACATGAGAATCAACTTAGGGAAATCAGTGACTCCATCAAACATAATAACATTTGTATTATAGGAGTCCCAGAAGAAGAAGAGAGAGAAAAGGGGACAGAAAATTTATCTGAGGAAATAATAGCTGAAAACCTCCCCAATCTGGGGAAGGAAGCAGATACCCAGATCCAAGAGACACAGAGAACTCTCATCAAAATAAACAAAAGCAGGCCAACACCAAAACACACTGTAATCATATTTGCAAAATATAGTGATAAAGAAAAAAAATCATAAAAAGCAGCAAAACAAAGTCCTTAACTTACAAAGGAAAAGCTATAAGGCTAGCTGGAGCTTTCTCAACAGAAACTTGGCAAGCCAGAAGACAGTGGCATGATACATTCAAAGTGCTAAATGGGAAAAATCTGCTCCTAAGAATACTCAATCCAGGAAGGCTATCATTCAGAATGGAAAGAGAGAAAGAGTTTCCAAAACAAACAGAAACTAAAGAAGTTCATGACCCCTAAACCAGCTCTGCAAGAAATATTAAAGGTAACTCTTTGAGTCCAAAGGTGAGACCTAAAGTGAGAGTATAAAGGCAGGAAACACAAAAGCAGTAAAAATGAGTATTTCCATAAAAATCAACTGAGGAACTCTCACTAAAAAGGTATAAAATATAATAACATATATCTAAAATGTAGGAAGGACAGGAGAAAAGAATGAGTTCAATCCTGAATGACCATCATCTTAATATAGACTGCTATTTGCAGAAGAGGTTATATATGAACCTAATGGTAATCATCATATATCAAAAATCACTAATAGGGCGCCTGGGTGGCTCAGTGGGTTAAGCCTCTGCCTTCGGCTCAGGTCATGATCTCAGGGTCTGGGATCGAGGCCTGCATCAGGCTCTCTGCTCAGTGGGGAGCCTGTTTCCCCCTCTCTCTCTGCCTGCCTCTCTGCCTACCTGTGACGCCTCTCTCTCTCTCTCTCTCTCAAATAAATAAATAAAATCTTTTAAAAAAATCACTAATAAAATGCACAGAACAAAGAGAAAGAAATCCAAATATATCACTAAAGAAAATCAGCAAAACATGAAAGAGAGAGACAACAAAGGATCAGAGAAAATCTCCAGAAACAACCACAAAGCAAGTAACGAAATGGCAAAAATACATATCTATCAATAATTTCTTTGAATGTAAATGGACTAAATGCTCCAATCAAAAGACACAGGAGTCAGAATGGATTAAAAAAACAAGACCCATCTATCTTCTGCCTACGAGAGACTCATTTTAGACCTAAAACACCTGCATATTGAAAGTGAGGGGGTGGAGAAATATTTATTATGCAAATGGATGTCAAAAGAAAGCTGGAGTAACAAAAGTTGCATCAGACCAACTAGACTATAAAACAAAGACTGTAACAAGAAAAAAAAAAGGCTCTATATAAATAATAAATGCGACAATCCAACAAGAAGATATAATAATTGTAAATATTTATACACCCAACATAGAATCACACAAATATATAAAACAACTCATAACAAACATAAAGGAATTAATCAATA